AAAAAACAAAACAGTATGAGGAGGCAGTTGTACGGAGATTACACCGAGTTAAGAGGGAAGGGAATAAAAAAATATAGAAGCAATTTAAACAGTTAAACGGGCTTCTCCAAACTTGGGCCATTTTAAGGCTCGTGGATTTCAACTCCCAGAATTCCTCAGGCAGCCATGTTTGATTTGAAGGACAAGATGGCTTCCTCCGCTTGGGCGAAGGAGGTGGAGTACAAAGATCCCTCTCTAGGATTTCCATCCTGTAGGATGAATTAGGGGTCCAGGCACCCCACAAGTCTATGGCCCCCATGGTTGGACGATGGATCTTCATGTCCCAGAACTGTAGAGAGGCCGGTGCCACTTATGGACTGAGCTCTCCATGCTGGCTGGGGAATTCTGGGAGTTGAAGTCCACGAGTCTTCCAAGGGCCCAAGCTTGGAGACCCCCTGAACAAGACCCTTAGCCCTGCTGGACGCACTCTTGAGGCTAATTTTTGACACAAAATAAATCCATGTATACGTTCAGGACTACGCAGCCACGTTAACTGGTCCAGGGGTGGAGAAGGCAGAAGAAATATAGCTGGAATTGATAATGCCGGGAAGCCAGGAAGAATGATCCCATATAAAGAACTGGTTTTATTGATTTCTCTGCAACCCCCAACCCACCTGCCCCCCCATTAAATTCCTCTCTCCCAAAGCTGGCGCCAACACTGGCCCATCCCTTAGTGAGCTGGGTTCAAATTTCTACAAAGGATAAAAGCTCTTTTTTGGGAAGAGAGGCAGGGGGGAACATTCATTGTTTAATCAGGAAATGAGAAAATTCAAATACAACCCTTCCCTCACAGCTGCAAACCCACCAACCCTTTCAAAAATGGGGGGGCTGGATGAAAAGGACCGGGGACGACTCCCACTCCCCCAAATTAAGTGCCTTTAGAAAAAATTGCGGGGAGCCACTGGGTTTGTTGGTGGGTGGGTGGGTGGGTGGGAGCCCAGCTTTCGCAACCCACCCTATTCACCCCACAGCCACAACCCTCTGGAAGGAAACGTAGAAAAACTAGCCTCTGTGGAATTTAGCCCAGCTGCCCGCAGCGAGAAAGCACAAAAACCACGTTTCAATTGCCAGGAGAGTGAAAAAGTGGGGAATATATTCCCGCCCCCCCCAGATAATCTGGTAGGATGTAGGTCCCAGGGAGAAAGGAATAGTCTCCCAGTTTAATCCTGAATTTTTAAGGCAGTGTTTTTCAAGCTTGGCCCCTTTAAGAAAGGTGGACTACAATTCCCAGAATTCCCTAGCTAGGGAATTCTGGGAATTGAAGTCCAGCCCTTTTAAAGTGGCCACGGTTGAGAAACACTAATTCAAGGCCTCCAAGTCAGCCCCAGCTTTCTCTTCAAGCCACGGATGCAGGCCCCTTTTTTGCCGTGGGGGCTCAGCCCCTCCGTTACCCACAAGCCCCCAGTTTCTTTGGCAGAAGCTGGGACAGACCCCCAAAGTGCTTCCTGGTTTTTTGTTTTTGTCTGTAGTGTAGGCAGATTCGTTGAGGGGTTAACCTGAGCAGCTCAAAAGACAGGAAGCAGAGAACAGATGCACCCACTGAGGATCTAATGTGGGGCCCTTCAAGATGGCGGCGGGTGGTGGAAAGGTTTGAGATGGCTTCCTCTACTTGCGTGAAGGAGGTGGGGTGTGTGTTAAGTTTGCATCTTGTGGAACCCAATTATGGACCCAGGCATCCCATAAGTCTCTGGTCCCATGGTTGGAAGGCGGATCTTCCCGACCCAGGGACTGTAGAGGTTGGTGTTCTCCAAAAAGTGTGGTCCAAGTTGGGCCATCAAGACTCAAAACACTGAAAGAAACTTCAGATCCAAGTCCTTCCAATCACCCACCATTTTGGACACTCGAATGACAATTCCAGGAAATCGATTGGTGATTTCTGGGCATGGTGGCCAGACCTATGTGGGAAGGCCATTGGTGGTCAACCTGCTTCAGCAGAAGCTCAAGAAGAACTTGGACAAGGAGAAGGGCCCTGGTGGTGGTGGAGGAGCCCATCCTGTGGAAAGGCAGACGGTGGGTTTTCTTATCAAAGGTGACGCAAGGCTTGGAGTTAGCACAAACAAACACACACACACACAGAACACACAATCCCCATTGACCTCAACTCTCTACACCAGCCACCATTTTCTTTGGTGGTCCTGGAGATGTTCTGAAACCCACGAGGAGGACCCAACTGAACCAGTATGGAGAAGAGAGCACCTTACACCCAACGGAAGCAGTTTTACGGCCTTTTTGTGCTTCTTAGAACGCCCCCATCCCATCACACCCCAAAGGGGTCTAGCCGCCCGGCTTGACTACCGCCTCCGGGACCGGCCCTTGGCACCCCCCCCCCCCCCCCAAAAAAAAACCTTCCCACCCCCAACCCCGAAGGGGGGAAAATTAGTGTCAGGTAGACCCTCTCATCCCTGGAATGTAAGGAAGGAACAACTCCATCCCCGGCCGTTGCGTTGGTCAGCCGGGAAGGGAGGAAGAGGAGGAGGAGAAGGAGGGAGGAGGATGGAAGAACCACGGAGAAAGGCCGCCAGCCATTTTCACTGAGGTAGTGGAACGAGGACCTCCACGTAGTTGAGAGGGAAGAAGCCCGACTGGCCGTGGATCATGCCCTCGTACCAATTCTCGTCGATTTGGTTGGTCAGCGTGATGATATCGCCTTCTTTGAAGCCCAGCTCGCCCTCGTTCTCCGGCTCGAAGTCGTACAGCGCCTTGCAGCACGGCTGGTCCAGGTGTGGGGCTGGAGGGTTGGTGTGGGGTGGGGGGGGAAGAGGAAAGGAGGAGAGGTTAGCCGACAGGTGCCCTTCAATCCACCAGCTTCCATCGACATCCCCAACCACAGCGACAAGCCGTTGGCTGTCAAAGCGCACGGAATGCTGGGACTTGTAGTTCAATGGGGGGGAGGAGAAAGACTCATAGTTCAACTACAAGGATGCCCTTGACTGCATCACAAGGGTGCAATTCATGGGGAGGGAGAGAGGGAGGGAGGGAGGGAGGGAGGGAGGGAGGGAGGGAAGGAAGGAAGGAAGGAAGGAAGGAAGGAAGGAAGGAAGGAAGGAAGGAAGGAAAAGAGGGAGGGAGGAGAAAGAAAGGGAAGGAGGGAAGAAAAAGGGAGGGAAGAAGGAAGGAAAGAGAAAGAAAGGGAGGGAGGGAAGGAAGAAAGGGAGGGAAGAAGGAAGGAAGGAGAAAGAAAGGAGGAAAGAAATGAAGGAAGGAAAGAAGAAAAAGAAAGAAAGAAAAAGAAAGGAAAGGAAAGGAAGAAAGAAAGGAAAGGAAGAAAGAAAGAAAGAAAGAAAGAAAGAAAGGAAGGAAGGAAGGAAGGAAGGAAGGAAGGAAGGAAGGAAGGAAGGAAGGAAAGAAAGAAAGAAAGAAAGAAAGAAAGAAAGTCAGTCAGTCAGTCAGTCAGTCTGGACTGGCTGACAAGGGTGGAAACCGTTAGCTGTCAAAGCACATGGAATGATGGGAATTGTAGTTCAGTAGGGAAATAGACTTGTAGTTCAATGAATGAATTCCCTTGACTGGCTCACAAAGGTGGAAGCCATTAATCTGTCAAAGCGCATGGAATGCTGGGACTTGGAGTTCAATAGGGAAATGGACTCCTAGTTCAACTACAAGGGTACCCTTGATTGGCTCACAAAGGTGCAAGACATGTGGTCTTTGGCTTTCAAAAGTGCATGGAATGCTGGGAATTGTAGTACGAGAAATGAGAATAGAGCCTCATTCAACTTGATTGGCTCACAAGGGTGGAAAGCACATGGAAAGCTGGGACTTGGGAGAGTTCAATGAACGGGAGGAGTATCACTGCCTGGCAAGGATGGAAGACACATGGCCTTTGAATCTCCAAGCACAAGGCATGCTGGGTCTTGTAGTTCAGTGAACAGGAGGAGCTCCACTCAACCTCCCTCAACTGGAGATATATATGTGATCTTTGACTGTCAAAGTGCATGGAATGCTGGGACTTGTAATCCAACGAACAGGAACAGCACCACTCAACCGCCTTTGACTTGCTCTCAAGGGTGGAAAAGTGGCTGTCAAAGGGCCTGGAACGCTGGGATTTGTAGTCCAACAAATGATAGTAGTAGTACTATGATACTCAATCACCCTTGATTGGCTCACCAGGGTGGAGACATGGGGCCTTTTGTCTGTCGATGTGCATAGAATGCTGGGACTTGTAGTCCAACAAATGGAAGCAACACCATTCAACTCCCCCCTTTGTGGTTGAAAGCCTGCCCTCTATGGGCAGAGATGGTCTTGAATAAGAGCCTCTAAACATGGCAACTTGTGGACTTCCACTCCCAGAATTCCACTCCCAAGGCTAGTTGAGGAATTCTGGGAGTTGAAGTCCACAAGTCTTAGAGTTGCCGAAGTTTGGTGACCCCTGCTCTAAATCAGTTGCTGGCCAATATGTCATAAGTCATTCAGCATTCTTGCAGTATCTGGGAGTGATGGATGATTTAAGAAGTATGAAATATAATTGAATGAACGAATGTATGAATAAATAACTAAATAAATAATGGTTGATTTAAGATCTATGAAATATCATTGAATTGAGTGAATGAATGTATAAATAAATGGGTGATTTAAGAAATTTGAAACATACTTGAATGAATGTATGAATAAATAACTCAATAAAAGATGGTTGATTTCAGATCTATGAAATATAATGGAATGAGTGAATGAATGTAAGAATGTATGAATAAATAAATAAATGATGGGTGATTTAAGAAATCTGAAACACACTTGAATGAATGAATGAATG